CAACAAGAGTAGCATTTGCTTACCATGAAATGAGGTTGTGTTAAAATACGCTTTAGCTCCTTTGCATCATTGTTCTCTGGGTAACATGAAATTTCTTCCAATACCTGCAAAACAAGTAGGACAAATGCCCATAGTAACTTTCTTTTAAATAAAGCTATTAATCAAAGAAATGAAAACCCTCACTGGTCAGTCAGAATATCTCCAAATGATTATAGAAAATAATGTTTTTGACAGGAAAAGGCTTAGGAAAATGTGCCCCCCCTCCACAAAGTCCAAGAGACTAAAATACCTAATTTTAATTTTCTTTCTGAGAGAGATTAAAGCAGAAATTTGAAGGAAACAGTTGCTCTTTTTTCAATTGACAATATTCCTCCAACAGCTAAATATATGGAGACAGAAATGAAGCGCTAACTTATGGGTGACACATACCACCACCACCTAGTGCTACTTTCACACATGTTCTCAACTTATTAAAACAATCAGTTTAAAAGCAGAATTAAAAATACTCATAAAACCTTCTCTCCATAAAACCTCCTCTCCAGAAATTAAACTGTTAAAGACATCAAGTGTAGGTGGGCCATCTGCTACCCCACCTCCAAGCTCCAGATTTTATAAAATCTGAGCCATGCTTCAGCTTATCGCTGGGGGAAGGAGGAGGCAGGAGGCATTTGGCTGCCACCTGATACTTTCACCTTTAATTTCCACATGCAACTACTTGGACAACGAAAGCAGAGTATTTTGCTTCTGGAAGCACCTCCCAGGATTAACTGCCAGGAAATTTTGCAGAATAGGACTTCGGGGTGTCTATCAGTGTGACTGCAGTTATTACACAGTGTTTTAGTCTTCCTGTTCATTCTATTTTTAATAGCACTACAAACAATGTTTTCTTATGACATTACCCCCAACAACTGTACTTATTTTTACTGATAGTATATTAATACTATGTTTTGTTTACTACTTGCAATAAATAAACAAATAAAATACTATTTGCCAGGTATAAGAATTAAGAACATCTGAGTCTATCTATCTTTCATCTTAATGGGCCACCTTCATTGTATTTCTAGGTCTGCTCTTCTTAGAACTATCTATGATAAACTTGTTTTTTCAATTTAAAAAGTTGATACCTAAAAACATATCTTTTTTTGTGACTAAGTAACATATAAACTGAACATGGAAGATACTGCATTTGCCAAACAGGAGCGTTCCTTTTAAGACCGCTATTGTTGCAGCAAAGGTTAAATGATGAAACTGAGTAATACATATAATCCTTACAGACATAATGGAATTCTGCAAGGTTATGCAACATGTTATGTAACTTAAGCAAGCAACGGTAGAATTCCAGAAATAATTCAGATTATGGGCCAGAATACATATGAGTATCTTAATGAAGAAAAAAAAGTTCCACTTTAAATACAATCAAACTTTCAAAGTAAAAAATATATTTTAAAGCCATTACCTCTTTGGCTCTCTGTACAGCATCACTTGGAGGATTCCTGATTTGTGGTGAAGATTTTGTGTTTATTTTGTCATAAAGCTGAAATAACAAGAAAACAAACTACTGAAATCATATGCTACTTTATATAACGTAATGATGAGGGCTAACAATAGCCTGCTTATGTTACCATGATTAAGACGATTGCTAAACTGCAAGTACTAATCTAGCAGGTTTGGGTTTTGGCTTTTCATTTTTAAACATTTCCTGATTTGAACGGTGCCATAGATTCAGAGTTCATAGGATGACATGGGAAAGTTCAGGAGGTTAAGGGATTCTGCAAGCCTCCCATGCTTTTTCTACAGATTTACAGAAACTATATTCTTGTACTAGAAGTGTTCCTATGAATCTTGAATAAATGCTATAAATGATACATGCTGCTATAAAATCAAATCAAATTGATCTGCATATCCCACTTTTCTCAATAAATCAATCATCAAACATTCCAAACAGTAATTTAAATAAACCTCAGAATATGGGAAAATGCTCTTGAAGACAGAAAGCTACAAAAACCTAAGTCTCTGGAGAAGAGAAAAACAAATCCTTCCAAGAAAAGAGGGCTCACAAAAACTGAGTACCCTTATTTTACTAGGATTTTCTATTGGACAGAAGAATGCCAATGTATTTAAATAGGAAATTGTAAACCTTACAGTTAATTATTTTTTTAAAAAACTTTTAAAACCCCCTCAACTATGCAAAACACAACAGGAGAGACATCTATCTGCATTTTCAAATTAGAGATAGATATTACAGGCTCTCTTTCATACAAACCTAAAAGATTGTGCACGTTTTAAAGAAATAAATGTATACTTAAGAATAAAAAGGCACTGTAGTAAGTACTATTTTAAAATAAAAAACTTTTGGCTTACATTTCAAACAATATAAAGATGGTCATGCCTGTAATTAATTCTATTTATGTTAGACTACTTCTTTGAAATATAAGACAGAAAAAAGATACAAATAGCTTTTTTTAGGATATTAGAGAAATTGTTATCACAGTGAGCGTGGTGAAACACTGCAACAACTTGCCCAGGGAAATTGTGGAATCTCTCAATTTTGGAAATACTCAAAATTCAACTGAAATTCAAAATAGTGTATGTAAACAAACATTCAAAATACACAAGGGACTCTAACACCTTCAGCAAATCCTGACACTGTAAAGGATGAGTTGATAAGAACCCCCTGTTTAGGCTGCTCAGCAAGGAGTTCTCTTCCTCTGAGAAGCTCACAGCTCTATCATTTGGCTGAGGACGGCCTTGGATGTTTGAAAAATGGAATCTTGTGAAGCTACAGAAGTGCCCTCTTCTCTTTCTCACATGAAATACCATTCAGTTTTAGAAGAGATGTAAATTGCAATAAATGCAATCCAATATCATCATCATTTTCCTTGTGTTCCTTAACAATCTAACGCACATGTTGAACAGTTCAAGTCCATACACAAATAAATACAAGAAGAGGCAACAATGTCACTTCCAAAAAACACTGCCTGCAGGACAGTTATACCACTGTGCTGGGGAAAGAAGAGTAGAGAAGTTAAGTTAAATCAGTTTCTTCCACATCCAAAAACTTCACCTTGTCCTGGCAAAACACTGCTATACTCAACAGTTTAAGCAGCCTTGACCACTGCTGAAGTTTTTAAAATAAAAGCTTTCTGCTAGCTTATAGTTCAGGAGATATTTTTGTTGCATACACAATTTTTTGTTTTTACCTTTTCTTAAATAACTAAACAAAACACACCCAAACTCCAGCAACCCCAAATTATTAAGTATCACATTTATACACCCGTTAAGAAACTGCAACAAGCACTGTGTACTGAGTAAAGCGCAGTAGGAGCTGTTGAAAATGCATGACCCCAACATGAATATTATTGAATGTATTTTTCGAAGAGTCACACACACATCCTGTTTAAGATTAATGACATTACAGAAAAGTTCGCATGAAAATATTTTTATTAGTTATTTCGAGCAATTGTTTAAAAGCTAAGTTGCCGACGTTGCTGATTTCACTCAAGTCGCTACGTTACTGTGATCCAAAACAACTGGCAGTTTACAGAAACAGTTTTTTCTCACTATCATGGGAGAGGATAAGTTATCCTCTGAGACTAGGAAGGAGGCAAAAAGGAAAGTAGGAAGCAAAGTGCCTCTAAGAATGTTTAGGAAAAAATCAAGGCAAAGTTCAGACTAAACAAGGGTGCATTTATTTTTCCGTAGCGCCTTCCTGTTTTTTTAAATTTCATCTTCCAGGAGTGCTACTTACTGAGATTTGCTTCCAAGGCACCAAACCATCAGGAGGGACTCTGACAGTACTTAAAAGAAAAACCTTCAAATTTGCATTAAGGCTTAAAGCCTGTATATTACCAAAGCCACGGGATCCATTCATTGTTTCTGGGAGTAGAAGACAGTCTCAGCTAGAGAAAGGATGTATTTTTGATAGCTTCACTAGCAAGAGCAGATCTCTGCTAGAGAATCTTATTGGGTACTCTACCTCTAAAGCTCATTACAGTGGAAGGCACTCATTCCAGTGTCTAATGGAAACACTATGCGAACAGCCTACACCACATTACATTTTTACCATGAGTATAATGTGTTTTTCTCTAAAATTCTGTTCAACCTTAACACTAAAAAGCAAGAAGCAAACAAACCCCACAATAAATCTGAAAAGAAACTTGAACCTCTCCAAGTTGAAATGCATTTTTAAATGGTAAATTCCTAATTAAAACCAGGGACATTTCATGAAGGTATACTGATTTAAGAAAAAAAGAAATACACTTTTTCATTTGTTTAACAGGGTTAACCATCACTTTAACCTCTGCATGCAAGGAAGAAGAAAAGTGTATTTTCTGCCCAAATAAAAGATCATACATCTAAGAACAAAGAATACAAGTAATACTTAAAAGAGGAGGAACTCTCTTGGCAGGGGGAAGGGGGAATCTCAGGCAGCCAGAAAGCATAAAGTCAGCTACGTATTAGTTTCTCCCAGGGGAGGCTACAGCCAAATACCATACCATAATGAGAATATCAATTAAGAAATAAGATTGTTATCTGTGTTTGTGGCGTGCCCACAATAGATCACTGTTCAGTTCTATGTTCAAAACACAGGAAGGATGTCAAGAGGCAGAGAGGGCTCAGAAAAAGCTTTCCAAAAAGATCAATCATCTCTCCCCCTAGTATATTATAAAATGCTTAAAGAAGACAGAAGTTTGATAATATAAGGGATTTCAGTTTAAATGACAAAACTATCACATGATCTGAGTAAAAGGAAGTAGTCAGGACAAATTCAGAGTAGAATTAAAGCATAAATATCAACATTGCAGGTAATTAAGGGTGTAATTGATTTACTCTCTTGGGAGTTTTTAAAAATCAGAAACAGACATTTTTGAAATGGTATACTCTAATTCAAGTTAGTTCATGGACTTTTTTGCTTAGAAGGGGACCAGGCTACATAATTGCTTCTCCTAGCCATATATTCCATAAAAAACAGATTAAGCTTTAAAATTTCAGTGTAAATAATTTATTTTGTAATTTGTTGGAAAATTATATCTATATCAATAAAACTGGTGTTTTATGAATTATCCTAAAGGGAGGCAATAGCAGTAGTGAAAGATTTATTTTTGTATGTGAAGTCAAAGAAGATTTCCACATGAGAAACTCCAAATGACATAAAGAAAAATGTAGTTTGTCAATTCCTGTACAATATTTTTTTAAACACACTGTAGATGTTCAGCTAGTTGTTACTATCTCTGTGCTCTGAATTACTTTTAAAATAGGATCTGACCGTGGCTTTCATCATGTCAAGGTTTCGTTGTCTTTTTATAGATGGGCCACAAACTCTTCGGTTTTAATTGTGGTTCTTGAAATGATGGTGAACACTGTCTTGACCTAAAACTGTTTTTAATCCCTTTTTAACAACAAAACAGCTGTACTTATTACTGACAATTCATGTTAGCAACAGAAAAATTTCCTAGTGGAGACAATCAGAATTGTTACCAAACTGTCTCTGTCTATTTTCACATCTCATCTAGAAACAACCTTTTGTTCAGGCCACGCAATTTCTCTCTTGTAACACGAAATTATTTTGGAGAGTAGTGGCACAAATTACAATACACACGACAAATGCAATTATTACACACTGAAGACAGTAAAATTACAAGACTGTTTTCAAATCTATAAATACATACACAGCAATACCCTGTGAACCATTTATCTTGTTCAGGTTCATATGTCGTTATGTATTTCTAATGCATCCTTAGCAGAAATTAAAATAATATTATGTACAAGATTATATCGGAAGTACTATTTCTACATTAACTGTTTATGCAGTCAAAGCAAAAATAAGAACATACAACCAAGATACATATCTTTAAAAGCATGTCAAGTAATGATAAGTAAACCCAGAAACAAAGGAAGTAGTAGTACCTCTTAGTACTTGCTTTATATTTTAATTTTTTCAATATACCATTTCAACAATGCTTTCACAGAATTTTTTTGGACATTAAAGAAAAAGTCTGGTTCTAAAGTGTCTCTTGTTTGGAATGTACTCATATAAACAGAAGGACGAATCCAGGATATTATTTTGTATCTCTCATTTCCAATTTTAGTAACTATGTGTTCAGTCTGGACAGAATTTTTTAGCATTATGTTATTAAGCGTATTTAAAAAAACACATTAACTCTTACAATAATTAGTCTTTACTGGTTACAGAAGATGATTAGAAGCTTTCTGCCAGAACACAGCAGAAGCTGGTAAGAGGAGTAAAGCTTATGCTATGCATTAAGGCACCAGCACTGGTGAAGCAGTCCTATGTTCTTTGCAATCTTTGAAAAAGGACTGTTTTGCAATATTTTTCAAATATTTTTGCACTTAAACAATAGCTATAGCAGAAGCAATTTAGAAGAAGGAATTTACAGCTCCATAATTTGTCTCTGAAAGCATGTGAATTTAGAGGTTTCATTTATACACATTAACAAGAACATTTGTTCCCTTGGACATAAGAATCCAACACATTCTTGCACGAACATTTTACAAAATGTTTAAGAAAACTCT